TGGCAGGTAATAATGATCATTTTGACTTTATTAAGCCTCCTTTGACACCATAACAGAGGGGAAAGAGAGAAGATTGGGGCATCTTATTACTACTCAGTGAGGGTTCAAGTACAGGCTCCCATGTGTGGTCTCTATTGAGACCATTCCAATGGGATTGTAGAGGCCTCCATTACATACTTGCGAGGGTAGAAGTCTGTGCTCCCCTGAGCCTGTGCTAATATGAGTGGGCTTGGGCCATGGTTTCTTTTTTATTTTTCTGCAATACAGTGATTATTTTCTAAAACTACTTTTTTGATCTTGTTAAGCTGCCCCTTTCTAGGGGCATGCTTTTTTTTTTTTTAATCACAAAGTTAATTGTTTACATTCATGTGATAAGAATGGGCTGAATATCAATATGTAAAGTTAATTAGTATATCATATTATAGTGAGAGGAGAGAAAATGTACACTAAAATAAATTGTAGTGGAGATTGAGACTCAGAATCTCCATTAATCCACAGCTACTGTCACCAAGTACTTAGATTCCTGGAATAGGAGGAACATGAAAGTACCAAGAGAATTAAGAAACCTAAGGCCCCAATCATGTAGCACAAGTCATGTGGGACCAAACATTTAAACTTTTTCATCTCATTTTGTTCATCTAAAGGATAAAGGTGTAGGATTGGTTAGTCTCAGTAATCTCTTCTAACAATGTAGCTATTCACTTCTTATATGTGATTCTACACACAAGGAGAAATTAGTAATACTTTCCCATTGAGCTCAGTGAAATTAAAAGAAACTAATATTTATCTGGGCAAAGAATAATGTGATTCAGAAATTATTCAATTCTAGGCAGTGATAAAATTTGAGGATACACTTCAATCAATATAAGTTTTAAATAAAATGTAAATGTGCTAAAAGTTAATAAGTCTGTTAGAACCAATCCAAACTTGCTATTCTACATAACTTCATATTTTATCTAAAAAAGCACCTTTGTTATCAATCAGTAAATTATTGCCATAGGAGAAAACAGATTTCTGTGGAAAGTACATTTTGTGGAAAGGACTAATTCCACAGATACTTTTCATGTTAAAGAAAACACTCTTTAGTATCAGTAAGATATAATCTATTTAAGTTACATGTAACCCAATACTATGCTGTGAATGTTGCCTTAGTTATTCATGAACAGTGTGACTCAGACTACTCAACATTTCTCCACTTTCTCAATTGTACAATGAGGGCAGTTCTGCAAATCTATTTTAGACAACCCATTTCAGTTTTAAAGCTTTTTGGTTCAGATGAATTTATTAGTTATTTAGTAATTTGTGGTAAAATGCCAAGGGTCAAACTCCGTAACTAAGAGTGTGTTAATCTCCTTTACCACAGCCACACCCAGTTATACTTAACTTCTGCTTTATCTTCAAGCCCTTTCTGGCACCTTCACTTTACAGTTCCTAAAGTCCTCTACACCACTCACATGCACAGTTGCCTCTTGGACCTGAATGCCACTTGAAACTGCTCTATTTCCACATTAAACTCAGAATATTGCCAGGCTATTCCCATCATTTCTTCTCCCCCCATTCCACTGATTTCACATCTTTCTTCCCCATGTTAAGTCCCATGATTCTAAACACTACAGAAAAGTCACCTGTCAGTTGAATCCCCTAAAAAGCCAAGTAGACAATTTCAGAGAAGCCCTCAACTGTACCCATCAATTATTTTATTTATCTATAGTCAAATTTCAATTCTCTATTAGGTCTGCAAACATGGCCACATTTTTAATAATTAATAAAAAAATAAACCTCTGAGAGGGTTAACGTGACACACAGGCAGATAGGGCCGGGGTCCAGTGGAAAACAAAGGCAGGTGGAACATAGGCAGGGCAGACATGGCAGTTTGAGCAGCCTAATCACGGGAACCAACCATTCAGAAACCGTAAAATGGTTCTGGACTCAAAGGTGGGAGGCATGTGGAACTAGGGAGAGTCTGCAATGATAAGGTGAACTGACACATAGAAACAGGGAAAGTTCAAGTCTGTTGCTGGGCAAAAACAATTGAGGGAATCAATCTGGTGAGACAGGGATAGACATAGAGCAGGCTTGTAGCAAATATACTATACCTCTAGACCACAAGGCTCCATAGGTAACCAATTATTGGACTCCCCCCCCTATTCAGGGAGTCTGTAATAAATTTTTACACTTTTGCTTAAATCTTCTGGTCCAAGGAGCTCATTCTTAGGCATTGCCAGATACGACCCAGGGAAAAACCCTCAGCTCACCATTCAGGTTATCAGTTCTTTCTATTGAGCCCCCATTTAAACTTTCATAACACCAAGTTTATTATTGAACTTGCTATTCATTTCAGTTTCAGTTTCTTATACATTACATCCCTTTCCTGAAAGTAAAACCTCACAGGTCAGACACTCAATGCCTTATAAAAACCTAATAGAATGACCTTTTCTCTGGCTTCATAAGACCTTCAGAGACCTTGCCATTATCAACCACCGGATGCTTCTCGGTTCCAGGATTTCTATTTTCCACCAAGCCACTGAATTTCCATTCCCAGAATTCTATTACTTTCTTTTTTTCTTATTGCACTAAATATCCAGGTAAGTCATTTAAAAAAGATTTGAATGACAACCTCCATGTTGATCACAGCCAAATTCTGAACTCAACCAGTTTTCTTAGAACTCCATGTTTCAACCACTTACTTGATCTTCCCACTCAAATGTTCTATAGGCCTCTCAAACACAATACTCCCAAACTGAACTTCTTATCCCAAGTTAACAACTTCACCTGTAATTCCTTTTTTCTGTAAATTCCACCCACTTAGTTATTCTTTATATTTCCTGTTCTTCACTGCAAAGTATTTCCCCAAAATATTACTTTGAGTATACCATGTTAATATTTCAAACCCTATTCTTTGTCTATTGCCATTTCAAAAAAAAGCAAAAGAAGCAAGCAAACAACAACAGCAACAAAGAAAAGCAAATACAACACTAAGCAGAGGTGTCCTTAGATTTACAAAGACAGCCAGGATTGAGGAGTGTTAGAGAAGTCAGACGAGAGAATGGGATTCAAGGAGGTAATAGTCCAGTGCTACTGAGTGGAAAATAAGTTAAAGATACTACATATTGCATTGTTTGTTTGTTTATCCTCACTGGAGGACATACTTATTGATTTTAGAGAGAAGGGAAAGGAGAGAGGGAGAGAGACAAACATCTATGTGAGAGTGATACGTTGATTAGTTGCCTTCCCTATGCACCTGACTGGCGATTGAACCTGCAACCTAAGTATGTGCCCTGACCAGGAATCGAATGCACAACCTTTCGATTATGGGATGATGCGCCAACCAACTGAGCCACATTGGCTAGGGCCATTTTTCACTGGTTTTGAAAACTAGGTTATTAGTCAGATTTAGAAATGAACGACAGATTAAGAATTAAAAGCACTGAGTGTTGATTCTTCTATTTAAGGCATTTGGCTAATGATCACAGGGTTGAAGGAGAAGGACATGGAATTAGGAACATGCATGATAGAATCAGTGCCAAACAGTAGATGAATCACCTGCTAAGGTGGAAAAAAAAAAGAAGGCATACATTTATATCAGTAATAGTTAATAAATAATAGCTTCAATTTTTAGTGCTGGCTTCATACCAAACATGTGCAAGGTACTTTACAGATACTCTGCTCTTTAGTAATTTAAAAAAAAAATCTTACATGGTAGGTTCTAATACTTATTAGAGAGAAAACTTGCCTTAAGTTTTCTAAGTGGTGAAATGGAAAATAAGACTAAGTTGTTTTCAGCTTCCATTATAAGCAGATTCCCATTAGAGGTAGTATACTTTATCCATAATAACATAAAAGAAAGATTTAAAAATCCTGAGTTCAAAAGAATGATACACACAGATGAACTTCAAATGGAAAATAATTATTTACAAAGAATCCTTTCTAAATTTGAATTTAGAGATTAGAGTTTAGGAACCGAATATCCTGAATGTGGTAATACATCTCATACAATATATATGTTTAGGATGCTTCGGAAATTTAGCATTAACACTCTCTTGGGGCTAGGACAAATGAGGGATCCAATGCAAAATTTAAGGAAGCCCCCACTCTCAGTTTCCTGCAAATTCAGGGTCAGCATTTGTAATGGAGAGTGAGTACCTCTTTAAGTTTTATGCCTAAGGCACTTTGCTTGCCTCACCCTAGTCCTGGTCCTACCATTTGTCAAATTTAATAATATGCTCTAAAAATCTTACAAAAAGTAATGAAGCATAGAAATTAGAAACTCTTGCTAAGGTACAATAATGTCATTTGTTCATAGATTCTAAGACCATATTGCTTCATCATCAAATTTTATACCATATAAATTTAGTTTAGAATATTAAGTAGCCAAGGTGAGAATGGTTAGATAAATCAGGTTGTACATTATACTACCATTAAAGGTATAGTTAAGTGATAATGCAAAATTAGCATGTATAATATAAAGTAAAATAAGGAAGCTCTAAACAGAATTTATTGTGTGATCCAAATAATATAATGTACATCTATATATGAATATATAGCTACATGTGCATTTTTTTAAAAAAAAACACAGAAATTATATCAAAATATAAGTATTTAATTTTGGTTTATAATCTTACTGAATATTTAAATATTTCACTTTATAGTCTTCTATATATCCAGCATTTCTTTAGTAATCCAAGATTAAGAAGAAAAAAATAATTTTAAAAGCATGTGTTTATTGAATACCTAGTATGTTCCAAATGTAAACTATTTTGGAATTAGAGATAAATAAAACATAGTCCCTGCCTTCCTCTAATCCCACTGTCCAATAAAGCAGACAAGTCACACACTAGTTGCCAGCAACCCCTATTATTTACCTTGCTCGATATGCAGCTTCAAAAAATGGAAGGATTCTTTGCTCTGTCATTCTCAATACCCTGTATATAGGACAAAGGAGAGAGTGTAGCTGAACAGTCATCTTGATGAAACTTTTGTTGGTTGGTAGAAAACAGAATTGTTGGTTACTCACCAGCAGGAACAAAAATGTTCTAGTTGTCTCCCAAACTCTACAATTTCTTTATGCTAAATAGAAAGATGGATGTCAAAGTGCTTCTTCAGTGAACTACTGCCACCTCCATAGTAGGGAAAAACAAACTACATTATACTTCTTTTAAAGATGGAATTGAATATAGTCATATACTTGTTATTCACAGAGCCCATATTTGTGAATCCACCTACTCACTAAGATGTATTTATAACCCCACAGTTAATCCTTGAAGTACTTTCTGGAGTAGTTGTTGGACATATGCAGATTAGTTAAAAATATACATATTCCCAGCTGAGGTTTAACATGGCAACACTCTGCCTGGGTTCATTTCTACTGCAGAGATGACTAGAAGATGGAGACATAGGGAATGCAATGCTAGAATCTCCAGCTCTGGGGTCAGTTAGACGGGATTTGGATCCCAACTCTGGCACCTATCAATAGGGCAGCCTCAAGCAAGTCATAACATTTCTGAGCCTTGTTTTCTCTTTTGTAAAATTAAATATATCTATACACAGAAAGATAGATATAGATAGATATAGATATAAATATAGATAGATATAGATATAGATATAGATATAGACATAGATATAGATATAGAGATATAGATAGATATTGATCAGAATGAGTTATTTTGAGGGTTTAAGACTATAAACTATATGAAATATGTATGTGCCTAGGGTACCTATACATATACATATACATATACATATACATGTATTTCCCTCAGGAACAAAAGTTCAGTGTTTACTAACTCATTGTCCCCCTGTCGTTTTAGAGCATTACTACTTGGACAAACAAGAATATTTTTGGAATGTTTTATATGCCAACACTAAATATTGCTAGATACTAAGATGTGCACAGCCTCTGACCCCAAAGGGATTACAGTCAAGTGGGAAAAGTTATTTTAGTAGAAGGAGTTTTTCTTTTTTTTTTTTTTGTTTACCTCAAGTCAAAGGAGAGAGAATCCATTCCTTATCTAGAATTTTTGAACCACAAAAACTGTTTTTCTTCTGATTATTCCTACTGCTTTTCTACTAAGAAGTAATACCTAGGGGTGAAGGAAACATATCAATAATTCCAATTTTATGTTCATCCTTTTTTTTTTTTACAATTTTCAATCTAGTTACCAAAGCAAGGCCCCTGCTCTCTGTTTTATGGCTTCCAAAATTAACCACAGCGCACAGTTAGTGAGGGTGTGCCTTGTACTTTAACTGACTTAAGGGACTAATTAAAATTACTTATTTCCTTGTGGCTGGATGTCTCTGTTTTTTTATGTTAACTGTATCTCCTTCTAACACTTGCAGTTCTGTTTTTAATACCAAATAACATTTATTATGGCATCTACATTGATTTTCCCATTATTTCTAATCTCAGTAGAAGCTACTAAAATCTCAGAGAGCCACTACTGTCTTATTAGTGAGCTTAAATGATTTTTAACTAGATATAGTGCTAATTTTTAAAAATTAATTGACACTTTATGACTACTCAACCCTAACAAATATGTTAATTTCTACTCCTTGAAACTGAAACAAGTGCATTAAACTCAGATAACCTATTTTTTGAGTCAGGTATTTATTCTGTTGCATTCCAACACAGATCTATGGTACAATCCAGGTTTACAGAATATTAATCTACCATGAATACAGATTTTAAATTTTAAAACTTGAAACAGATAGCATGATAAATGTCATTCTAATCATTCTCTTATTCACCCTAATCACTAATATTTAAGCATCAATTTTTGGAAGTAAATTACTAAAAACAAACAAACAAACAAAAAAACCAGCTACCCAATTTTAAAGTCCTGTCTCATCTCAGTTTGTCTCCTTTAAGACTATCAGTTATGTCATCTCATTCAGGCCAAATTTTATTTTTGTTTGTTTATTTTTAAAATATATTTTTATTGATTTCAGAGAGGAAGGGAGAGTGAGAGAGAGATAGAAAATCAATGATGAGAGAGAATCATTAACTGGCTGCCTCCTGCATGTCCCCTAGCAACCCGGGCATGTGCCCTTGACCGGAATTGAACCTGGGACCCTTAGGTCTGCAGACCTAATCTGTATCCACTGAGCCAAATGGACTAGGGCCAGGCCAGATTTTAAACATCCTCCCATTTCTGATTTTCACTGTAGTCTAATAAGGCAAGTATAATCTCTGTTATATATTCTGGGAACGTTCTTTCTGTTTCTAGTCTAGAAAAGCTAATTATCCTACTCTAGCTCCTTCCAAACCTTAGTCCAGTCTATCCAAATCTGGGGAATCATAGCCAACTGAAACAAACCATGTCAGTGTCGCCAGTTAGTTTAGGAAAATTTGCTACTGTACATTTCCTTAGTCTTAGCTCCCCCTCCTTGCTCAGCACCATTTTTAAAATTCTTTTTCAGTTACTCAGACTTTTCCCAGAAGTATTTACTTGGCAGGTGGTTGGCTCATAAAATGAAAGACAGGCAGCTAATTTGTTCCAATATTACCATCGGCAGAAGCAATAAGTAAAGAACGTCAAGCTTCTACTGTTTTTCATCAGAGGTCAGGAATGGCTTGAATAAAATGATGAAATTTATTAAAGACATTAAACTCTCCCTGAGAGCATGACCTTCTCACAGGTATCTCTAGATACAATCATAAAAGCCCCTAACACTAGGTATTTGTATATGACCACAAGATTTGCATGTATATTCTTTTATAGCACTTTTAGTTAGGGCTCATTACAGCACTGAATAGTTTTCAAAACTTCTTTATAACTTTTCTGAAGTCTACATCCTCAACATATACTTTCAACGAATGAGAATTTATGATAAAGTTCACATGTGCCCCACTCTTCATGTGATCTTGAAACAAAAGCAAACTAATTTTATTATTATACACTCTCATAATCTTTCTGGTAGTAAATGTAACATACATTTTACAGACAATGGAGATATATTATTGCACCAAAATGTAAATTTCAGAAATATTATTCTGGTCTGTAATCTTTTCATTATCCCTACCTATGCAAGTTCTGAAAGTTATAAGCACACATTATCAAAAAAAATCAAGAAAGAGACAGAAAGACAGACACAGACAGATTTTTGTTTGTTTGTTTGGTTCGTTGATTTTAGGGAAACCTTTGGTCTGTTAAGATTTACACATGCAATCTATGTAGCCTAATATTTTTTAAAAAATCTTTTCTCTTGAACTTGCTTATCATTCCTGAGGACTGGTTCAAACAGAAATCATTAAGCCATTGTTTAATGTAATGATATGAAACATGCATATTCCATGTCAACCTAACCATTCTGTCTTAGTCCATTTGGGTTGCCATGAAAAATACTTGGCTTATAAGCAACAGAAATTTATTTCTAACAGCTCTGGAGTCTGGGAAGTTCAAGATCAAGGCACCAGGAGGTTTGATATCTGGTGAGATCCTGCTTCCTTGTTCATAGACTGAGGTCTTCTCACTGTGTCCTCACATGGTGGAAAATGAAAGGGTGCTCCCTGGGCTGGGGCCTTTGTTGGAGACCACTAATGCTATTCATGAGGGATCTATATTTATGAGCTAATCACCTCCCAAAGGCCCATCTCCTTACACCATCACATTGAGCATTAGGACTTTGCATATGAGTTGGGGGGGGTGGGTACGAACATTTAGTCTATATTACACCCATAAAAAGAAGGCCAGCCTACCCAGTTGTTGTATTCTCAGGCTTAAAATAATGACTCCAACAATGTGAACCTACAAGACAAAGCCTTCCACAGGTTTGCTACCAATTTTCAGAGTACAAATCCAGAGTGAATCACTTTTATAAATGTTTGCACTCTTTAGTTATGCTAGATAGTAGTGATTCACATATTTTTTATTTAGTTTCTTGTTAGAAATAAATATGTGCTGATTTAAAATTTCTTTTTTATTTTTTATTTTTTATTTATTTTTTTTTTAAAGGAAGGCAGACTGCCACGTGCAGCGCCTCATTTGGATGTGTCTGGAGTCTTGGAAGCTTGACTACCCTACGTTCTCCTACAAATGGACCTTGAGAGCTTGTTTGGAGGTTCTAGCAGGGGAGCGTATACCCTTGACCAAAGACCGGTCCTCTCCTGGGGAGGGGGTGGGGGGAAGGTCGTCCTCTTCCACCGAGCTTCGGGAGGGACGCACATGGATCGGTGAGGGAGGAGGGGGACACCCGCCTAGCCAGCCAGATCAGCCGAATCAACCCTGGCGATCAATGGGGTGACAGATGTCGCAGCCAGATCGCCCTCACATCCTAAAATTTCTTTTTTATACCCAGACAATTCATTGTTAGCAAATTCCCTGAATAAATATTAGGCACTTGTGTTAAAATAGATGTTTTCCCTTTAAGTGCATGAATAACTAGCTAACAAAGTGACCAAGTATGAAAAACAAAGTGAATTGAAAATACTCTCCCATTAGCATTTCCCCCCCTCAGGAGAACTACCATAGAGTTGAGAGGAATATGATATTCATTACCTTATGCTTTAAAAATATATCTAAAATGTTACCTTATACAATTGTTTTGTGATCATCTCATATGTATTCCAGTATTAAAACAAGTAAAGCACATGTTTAAAAATTCATGATTTCATTTTACCCTTTCTAGCCCATAACATAATATTTCACAAAGGGCTAGTTAGGATGATAAAACACATTGCTTTAAGAAGTCAGAGGACTGAAGTTCTGTTCTACTAATACTGAATAATTAATGTGGGTTCCTCCAAAAGCTTGATTTTGAAAAAAAAATTCTATTTTGAAAGTTTGGGACATTTCATATCATGTAAAATTTAATTATATAAATAGATTTTTTCATAACTACATTCTGTATTTTTCCCTTCATTGATTAGCATATATCTTAAGGGAAAGACTTTGCTCTCCCATGAACCTCAGAAATCCCATTTTAAGT